AAAAACTAAAAACAAAATAGTGTTGCCGGAATCTCACCAACCCAAATGTGATTCCAGCAAAATTGCACACAATGTTTTAAAAACCGACTCGGGACAAAACCCAGGAAGCTGGCCGGGTCGATCGGTTGAACCAGCTGGTTCAACTGCTGACGTCATCATGTTGACGCCAGCATGATGATGTCATCATGTCACTATTCACAGAATGCAAAATTCCAGAATTTGGATCCAAATCATAAACTCCTAAATAAAAAGTCCTTAGCAAAGCATCATCAAACATCATTACATCAATAATACAAAAAATTACAAATCAAAATAACAAAAAGAAGGAAGAAATCACATAATAGTTGTTCAACACTTCAACATTCTAACAAAAAATGATCTTCACCCAATGGTCTTCAATCCATCTTTCTATCCTCAATTAAAATTCACAGTTCACACACCATCTGACAGGTGATCGTCATCATTATTAACATCGGCAACATCATCTACAAAAAATTCTAGCAAAAAAGGAAAACCATAAGTTAAATCTTTCTATTTAAACTAATTAAATATAAACTAGCTACTACCAAATTGAAATTGCTTAAAAAATTGGAAACAACCTTGTGAAGCATCTGTTAAGTCATAATATGAAGGGTGATCACCACCATCTATAGGAATAGTTCCAATTTATCATAATTAAGCTCACCAACCTCCTCTTCCTCATCAACTATCCACCATTCAGTTTTATCAATACTCTCATAATCAACAGGATCATAAGTAATTTTCTTGTAACAACTCCTGAAATAGCAGAATTAAATGTTCAAATCATGACCAATAAAGACATCAATGAAAATAACAAAATGAAGAAGGCTTTATACCTATTTTGGAAACGCAAGTTATAATGAGTGAAAACCAAATCATTCAACCGTGGATGCTCCAATCTGTTCATCTTTTTAGTATGTATGCGTTCAAAAACACTCCAATTTCGCTCACATCTGGAAGAGGCCGAAGTTTGACTCATAATTTTGATTGCAAACTTTTGTAAATTTGGAGCACTAAACCCAAATGTCCTCCACCATTCATCTAATTGAGAATAAAAGTATAAATTACATAAGAAATAAACACAATTTCATAACTTAAAAATTAGACTTAAAAAGTTAATAACTATTACATACCCGGCCGTGTAGTTTTGCAAGTTTAAAGAGCAAGCTCATGAGAAAAGCTTTCTAAATGGTCTTGATATAACCTACTCTCTTCCAGTAATGTTGTCTTGCTCATTTTGAATGCACTTGCTTTACTGTCAATAGTGTCAAGGAAACCATACATGACCTCAAGTTTGTATCCTACCCCAACGCGTCTTAATAATTGTTGTATAAGGTTTGTACAAATTTTTCTTATTCTTAAACAACTTCTTGATCCCCATCTTCGTTCTGTACATGCCATCATACACATATCCTATTGAAGACCTCTCATCTGAGTCTATAATCCAGAACATACGCATCAATAGACTCATAACTTTGGAAATTATACCAATGTCATCTCAGAATCGGTTATCTAGAACTATGGAAATAAAGGCTTTGCCTTTATTAGTTTTTGCATATCGAGACTCCATAAAAGTTCTATTTGTCACTGGAGATTGCAAGTCATGTTTGTGCTGATGTAGGCTACTTAATGCAATGAAAGTTGTGGCAAAACGAGTTGCACCTGGGCGTATAATTTCTATCCAACCCTATTCAAGTGATAGACTTTAGATGTTAGTACGTAGTAAATTCTTAAAAAATGTATATATGTAATATGACTTGACAATGTAAATTATAAACCTATAAGGTAAAGGTATATAAACTATTTTTTCCTCAGCAAAGCAAGCACAAATGAATGATTATACACAAACTTTGTAACCTTAAATGCACGTCTCAAAAGGCTAATTATGTGACTCATCTCAGCTATGTCTTTCAGCATCAAATTAATGTAATGTGCTGCACAAGGAGACCAAGTAATACTGCTATATTTTTCAGATAACATTCTTCTAACAACTTTATAATTTGCTCCATTGTCAATGACAATATGGACAATATTGTTTGGTCTAACCCATAAAACTATTTCCTCAAACAAGCTGAACAATGTTGCAACATCCTTTAAAACATCTAAAGCATCCATTGATTTCACAAAACACACTCCTTTAGAACAGTACACTAGAAAACTAATCAGCAACCTATGTGAATTATATGTCCAACCATCAGCCATTAAAGTACATCCAACATTCTCCCAAGTTTTCTTGTAACCATTAATAAGTAATTGCACTTTTTTCCTAACATCTCTCAATAAATTTACACGTAAATTATGATAAGTTGGGATTTTATACCCAGGACCAATTGCAGTTATAGTATCCACCATAGGTTGAAAATAAATTGAATTAATAACATTAATTGGGATGCAAGAATCATAAAATAACCTTGCAACAGCCATGTCCGCTCTCTACTTAGCTTCTTTTCCAGCTAAAACACTCTTAATTAAGGGCTGAGACCCAGACTTAGTTCTTGAAGCAAAATAGTCACCTATCCNTTTCCCTCCAAAATCTCCACGCGCTTTCCCGTAACTTAAAGTCAACTCCCCGCATAAATTCTAAATTAAATTAAAATAACATTTCAATTTAAAAAAAAAAAAAGTAACAAACCCAAACTCAAAAGTCAACTTCTTCTCTCTCTCTCTCTCTCTCTCAACATAATAAACTTGAAACACAAAGTACAGAGCAGTCAGAACCAGAACCAGAACAAAAACATCACAGAAGAAAAAATTCTATGAAAGAACTAATCTTGTTTCTTTTGTAATACTTGAAGTTTTTTGGTTTTGTTTTTTTTTAATGGGAAACGGAGTCGGAAAACTTGGGCACTGTTTCGCTGGCGAGGTGTCACGCCGTCACGACATCGCCATCATTCTGGGGGACCCACTTGACGGGGGATTGGGCCACTCTTTCTGCTACGTACCGCCTGAACAGCCCCGTCTCTCTTCCTCCTGTAGAGTCCATACCGAGTTCTCCACAAACAACGTCCTTCAAACGACGAAGTTTTTCCACTCAATCTCCGGCGCGTCGGTCAGTGCCAACGTGTCGACCCAGACTCTATCAGTGGCCCTCATCGACTCATGTCCGTACAACACTTCCTCCATTGATCGGGCCTCCACTTTCGAGAGCTCCGATTCTTTCGCCTCTCTTCCTCTCCAGCCAGTTCCCCGTAGCTCGTTCCAATCCGGGTCGGGTGCTTCCCTGATCGGGTCTGGTCCGATCGAGAGAGGCTTCTTGTCGGGTCCCATCGAGCGCGGGTTTGTATCGGGACCCATCGATCGCGGGTTGTATTCTGGCCCGATGATTGATAAAGAAAAAAAATGTGATAATGATAATAAGTTGCAGAGTAGCTTATCTCAAAATAGTATTAAAGGAAATTCCAAGAAACAAAGATTAAAGAAGGTTTTCAAGAGAGTTTTATCAATTTATCGTGGCAATAAATCGTGTAAAGGGGTTAAAGAAATGGATTCAGAGAGAAACAATGANATTAGTTGAGACAACTTTTGAATAATACAATCCCAATAGGCACCACGTAATGCCTCATCCATTTCCCATATATGGTTTGTTGATGTGTGATTCTAACTTTTTGAGCTGGCAATTTAACTTTTTGTTTCTGATGCTATACTATAAGAAAATGAGACTACAGAAATTTAAAGTATAAGATTTGGGGTTCAAATTATTAACATGTGTTCAACTTCACTTTACATCAGCATCACAAATGAAGTCAATCAACGGCCTAAAACTAAATGCTACAATCACAGTATAAACAGATAACATCAAATTACCACGAAAAGAGCTAAAAGAAAATTACAGATCATAGAACAAGTCAATCAATGCTGAGACAATGGGGACTCTTGCTGATTACAAACGGCAATATAAACTGCAAAGTTATAAACTATTAACTATAAAGTTAAAGTATAAACATTGTAGTAAAAAACTAAAAATGAAAATACAAATCAATACCTGGTGTTGGTGAAGACTAAAGACAAGCTGCTGTTGACCGTTGGAGAGGTGGAGCTCGACGGCGACGGATGAACAGTTGAACACTGAAGTACTGAATAGAGCAGAACTACAGATTGCAAAAGAGAAGAAGAGATCGCGATTGCCCATAGTTCACCAGTTCCTGAGCAAGAAGAAGATGACAACGACAGTGTAGCTTCCTGATCGACGGTGACGGAAGAACAGAGCAGATCAGCGGTGAAGAGAGGATTGAGAATAGATCGCGCGGTACCCCAGTAGCCCAGCTGACAACGAGCTATACAGTTGACGGTGAAGGCTAATGCGACGAGATTCGAAGGTGAACTGGTGAAGGGGAGACTCGTGGATGATGAAAATGCAAAATAGTTTTCAGAGTTTTCAGACGAAAGAGAGGGAAGAAGTAGCATGAAAATGTCAAAATGGGGGGAAATGTTGATACTGTTTAAGTCAAGACTCAAGTCAAGTGTTTATTGTTTTAGTATTTATTAAATTTAATATTTTCATTTTTAAAATTTTGTATTAATGTGCATGACCCGGTTTTCATTAAAGTCACCGGTTGGACCGGCGGGTGCTACAACACCTCGGTCCAACCGCGGGTCAAGCTGGGCGGAGTAATTCTACCGGTTATAAGGCTCACTCGGCCCGGCTGACTGGCCGAGTCCCGGTTGAACTGGTTGAACCGATCGGGCCGGGTCGGGTTTTAAAACATTGCTCCCTCCCAACCAAAAACATCCCACCGTGTTGTATTGTTTAATACATTCGGATTCAAAAGATTCTGAACCCATTCTTGAAACCGTAAAATATACTAGAAAGAGTCAAGATTCAAAGGAAAAATATTAAGCTTTTCTTAGCCCACACCAGCTCTCTTTTGTTTTCTGCTAAGTGGAGAGAAGAGAGAATAGGAGTAAATATCATAATAGGCTATAGAGTGGCTTCTAGGGTTTTATTTAGCTAGTGTACGGCAACTGTTGAGAGCTTAACAATGACTCTCGGTGAAATCTTTGTTTCATTTTTTATTTCAGTCTTACTGGATAGATTGGCTTCTCGTGAGCTGTTGGAGGTTGCTACTCAATGGAAAATTGATTCTGAAGTGATGAAACTGAGGTTATTAGTTTCAAAAATAGATGCTGTGACTAAAGACGTTGAGGAAAAGCAGGTAAAGAAATATAGTCTTGGAATTCTAAAATTGTTATTCTGGTTTATGTAAAATAGAAAAAATCAGTGCAATAAATGTTATTTTTTTGTTGTTAATTACTAGTTTAAGGGTTTGTTAGTTGTTTAAAAGATTTGCATTGGTGGCTTCATTGTTACAGATGGAAGACAGTGCCGTTAAATTATGGTTTGATGAATTGCAAGATTTGGCAGATGATGCTGAAGATGTACTGGATAAATTTGCCACTCAAATCTTGAGATTCAAGTAGAGCGTGTTGACGAGTGGGTGCAATCCTTTAAAGCCAGTTGTTGCTATTGCCTTCAACCAGCAGTTAGTTGACAATATAAAGAAGATAACAGAGAGATTCAATAAAATTGCAAAAGAGATAGTAAAGCTTGGTTTGAGAGAAAATGTTGTGGAGAAGGCTACCGGGCTGTGGCGAACGTTACCCTTGACTTCTTTGTTAGTTGATCATGTCTTTGGAAGGAAAGAGGATACCAAGAAGTTAATTGACTTCTTGACAGAGGACATTGAAGCGGGAGTCAGTGTTGTTTCCTTAGTAGGTCAAGGCGGTGTTGGCAAGACAACCTTGAGTCAGATTGTGTATAGTGACGAAAGGTGGATAAACATTTTGACCTCAAAGGGTGGGCTTTCGTATCAGGAGACTTTGATTTGGTAAAGGTTACAAAGGCGATCTTGGAGTCGTTGGGTAAAGGGTGCTCTCATGTTATAAACCTTGAACCACTTCAAAAAATGTTGAAAAAGAAGCTGGAGTCAAAAAAGTTTTTACTGGGTTTAGATGATTTATGGAATAAGAATTATGGTGAATGGGATGTTTTGCGGCTTCTGTTCAGAGCTGGTGCACCTGGGAGCCAGATAATTATAACAACTCGTAGTAAACATGTTGCACAAACCGTTGGCATAGGTCCTATTTTCTGTTTGCAGGAACTATCGGAAGATGATTGTTGGACATTGTTTGCACATCATGCCTTCTCCGGATTGAATTCTGCAACTCGTCCAAACTTGGAGATCATTGGTAAGAGAATAGCTAATAAATGTAAAGGTTTACCTTTAGCAGCAAGGCATTGGGAGGCCTATTGCACTCTAGTTTAGATATGGGTGAGTGGCTGCTCATTTTGAATAGTGAAGTGTGGGAATTTCTTGATCAGTATTGTGGCATCCTTCCGGAGCTAATTTTGAGCTATCATCATCTCCCTCTGCATTTGAAAACTTGCTTTGCCTATTGTGCGATTTTCCCCAAGGGATATGAGTTTGATGAGAAGAACTTAGTCTAGTTGTGGATAGCGCAAGGTTTTGTGCAACAGTCACAAGGTGAAGACATTGGTAGCCAATATTTTCACGAACTAGTTTCAAGATCACTCTTCCAACGTTGTAGCCGTGGGAGTGAGTTTGGGTATAAAATGCACGATCTTATCAATGATTTGGCTCAATTTGTGGCCGGAGAAAGATGTCTCAGGTTGCAAGAGGGTGATGAATACAAGATTCATGAAAAGGCACGACATTTGTCTTACTTTCCAAGAAAATTTGATGCCTTTCTAAATTTTGAGGCCTTCGATCCAAACAAGCGTGTGCAGACTTTCTTGCCAATTGTTGATAAGTTTAAAAACTGTCAAATAACCAACAATGTTCGTAGTCTATTGATGAGATGTCGTGGTTTACGAGTGTTATCATTCACTGAGCTGCCAGAGTTAATTGGCGACTTGGAACATCTGCGCTATTGGGATCTTTCTTACACTCATATCACAAGGTTGCCTGACTCAGTCTGCCACTTATACAACTTGCTATCACTGATTTTATATGGATGTAAATTTCTTACAGAGTTGCCGACAAAATTGGGGGACCTTGGCAATTTGCAACATCTGGATATAAGAGAAACTAGTAGTTTACAGAAGCTTCCATCGCATATTGGTAGATTAAAACATCTTCAGATATTGCCATTGTGAGAGCCCCCTCATCTTGGACCATGGGCTATCCCAGTCTTGGCCTACTGCGGCCTCATGGGCTTTCCACATGCGCCCCATCATCTTGGGCCCCAATCATAGGAATATCCCCACCCCTGCAAGTGGGTTTCTTTCGCCTTCCCCACCTCTCGAACACAAGACCTGCAGGCTAAGTACTTGTGACAAGAGAGGTGAGTACCATAGGCCTCACTCACTTGGATATCCCCACCCCTGCAAGTGGGTTTCTTTCGCCTTCCCCACCTCTCGAACACAAGACCTGCAGGCTAAGTACTTGTGACAAGAGAGGTGAGTACCATCAGGCCAAGATGATGGGGCGCATGTGAAAAGCCCATGAGGCCGCAGTAGGCCAAGACTGGGATAGCCCATGGTCCAAGATGAGGGGGCTCTCACAGCCATATTTTCCTGTTGGCAAAGATCGTGGATGCGGAATCAATGAGTTGGGGAATCTAGCAAATCTAAGAGGGGATCTATCCATACTAAGGCTTGAAAATGTGCCGCAAGAGATAGCTAAGGTGAAAGCGAAGTTGGAGGACAAAGAATTTCTCAATAAGTTGGTTTTGGAATGGAGTAGCGGTAGCATTTCTGATGTACTTGAGCGGGGAGAAGATCTAGTTGATGTGCTGAAACCTCATAGGAACCTTAAAGAGCTTTCACTTAAGCATTACGGTGGCGCCAAATTTCCGTGCTGGATAGGGAATCCATTCTTCAATCTAGTGGTCCTCCGAGTAACTGATTGATAAACTGCACATCCTTACCACCGGTTGGCCAGCTACCCTCACTCAAAGAACTCACTATCGAAGGGATGAACAGTGTATGCAATGTAGGTTCTGAGTTCTATGGCATTGACTGGGGTACTGATAAACCTTTTCGGTCCCTGGAAACTCTGAGGTTCAAGAATATGCCTAATTGGGAAAAGTGGTTTGCTTTTAGTGCTGAAGATTTCCCTTGCCTCCAATTTCTGTATATTGAGGACTGTCCAAAATTTTCAATGATGCCCACATCTCTTGGCTCCTTGAAAAGTCTTGAGATCCGTAACTACATGGGATTGCATCAGATTTCATTCCTTCCACAAATCCAAGTCTTGGTGCTGGAAGAATGTGATCCCCTGATAGTCGTCAGTGTTGCTAACCTCACCTCACTTGTGAAGCTGTGTATTTGCAGATTTGACTATTTCCCAGTTGGGTGTTTCCATAGATTAACTTCATTCCAGGAGTTGGATATATCTTACTGTTACAGCATGGACCAGCTTCCAAGCGGACTGCTTAGCCTCAAACATCTCTACACATTGAGAATCATTCATTGTTGGAGTCTTATTACCCTTCCAGATATCGGTTCCCCATCAGTTCTTAGACATCTTCAAATCAGGGCATGTATAGCTTTGCAGTCCTTACCTATTGGTTTGATGCGCAATAGGTGCCTTTCTCTTCAAGTCCTAGAGATTGTTGGTTGCTCTTCTCTCAAGACCTTTCCAGATGGTGAGCTACCTCTTACTCTTCAGAATCTTAGTATCACATGCTGTCCAATACTGGAATCCCTACCAGCAGGTTTATTCCACTCAAATACTAATCTGGAAAGTTTGCATGTCAGTGGGTGCTTAATTACTGAATTCCCAAATGTTTCTCCAAGTTCAAGACTTAAAGAGCTTGAAATCGTTGACTGTCTGGAACTTGTATCTTTACCTGATGCCCTCCACAGTTTCAACTATCTTGAAAATTTGTTGATACGCAATTGCCCAAAACTTAAATACTTCCCTGATGGGGGATTGCCACCAAAGGTGAAGTCATTCTCGATATTCGATTGTTTAGATCTCCGAGTGCTGCCCTACGGACTGCATGACATGGAGTCAATTCAACACTTGACCATCAGCAATTGTAAACTCGGGTGTATTCCCAAGGGGGGTCTTCTCACCAAGCTAAAGTCAATTTGTATTGAAGGATGCCCTGAGCTCAGCAACTCATCCAAGTGTTATCTGAAAGAACTCATTTCAGTTAGAAATTTTATTTTCAGTGATTAGTTAACAGCCATAAACTTGCAGTAGGTTGTTCAATGTGCATCCAATAGAAACTGACAGTCTTTTTTGGTGAAAAGGAGTGGAGAAAGCGTTGCCAAGTGGCCGGTATTTCAAGCAAGGAGACGGGAAAAACTTGAATTTTGAAGATAAAATCAGTCTCTTTCTCTCCTATCCACTTTTGTATGCATACTTTTATTTTTACATATCAGTGTTTCATGTTTACTATTGTTTTTGCACTGGCAGATGAACACCAATGACATTAAATCCTCTTGGTATGATACTTTTGTAATTACAAAATTTTGTAATTTCAATGTGGGAGTTTTGGATTCATATAGATGCAAGTCAGGTTTATGTGTTTCTGCTCTTTGGCTTATTTCTAATCCTCTAGTCATTCTCCAAATTTAACATTAACCTTAACAAAATTTTCCATGATAAATAGTGTTCTAGTTCAAAGTCCTACTGAATTTACTACTGCAACTGTGATTAGTAATTGATATTCTAAATTCAAGTAAAATTTTGGAGTTAAAATAGTTTGACCCTAGTTTCATGTTTGCCGATTATACGTCAGTTTTTATATAGCTTTGTGAGAGTGTACAATTCAAAGAGGTTCAATACCATGGTATGAAAGAGACAAAAAACAATTATAAATTATAGTTTAAGAGGAGATTGGGTTGTTTGCGAGTTGGTTGTGATTGTGGGCAGAAGAAGCTTTTCGGGTTTTGGATGCTGGCTATCTAGCCTTGGGTGGTTTCTGTGGGATGCTTGTGCTGCTGTGGGTTTTTGGCAATCGTTTTCCCTTTTGTAGGATTGCTGATTATGGTCTGGTGTAGGTCATGTTTGTGAACGTTGTCGGGAGTGTGTTGTTTGCGGCTGTTGCTTTTGGTCCAATGGCGTTTATGGGAGTTTTGGTTGGGGGTGTGTGTGTTTGACTGCTTGAGCTTCCTTTATTAGATATACTGGTTTTCTGCAGTTTTTTGAGTGATTGGTGGGTGTGTCCTTCATAGCCGTTGTCCCCTGCTGAATAAATTAGACAATTCAACCAAACAATTTTTTTTCATTATATTATAACATCATCCAGAAAGCTGAATAAAAACAAGAAGCAAATCTTAGTGTATAACTATATCAAAGTTGTCCTCATCCTCATACACAAAGTTTTTAGTCTGTGGGCATCCCCATATAATTTTTTTTTTTTTTTTTTTTTTAAAAGATGCTGGAGTCCATGCAACCGCCACTAACAGACATGAATAAGTCTTTCACATTTAGCCACATAGATAGTTTCCAAATTTAGGGGCAAACGTCCTCCTAGAAAGGACACAAGACGAGGACAAACGAAAAGACTTAAAGTGGGAAGCTATCTACTCATATAAATAATTGGAAAGAGACTTCAGACTGTAACACGAAAAAAATTAAAAGCGATTTTAGGCTGGTACTGGGCAACCCTTCTTCTGGGAAACTAATAGGATTCAGCAGCTCAACAAACCAGCAATGAAATGTAACAGTTTAAAAAGAAAAATGTTAATAGAATATTCAAGAACAGAAGGCTATATTTGAATGATTTAGACTGTGTATTACACTTTTGGAACTGTAAGAAAGATAACTAGAATAAGAGTTTACTACGACTCAATATCAAAGACTCAAAGACTCAAAACAAATTCAAAGAAACAAAAATAACACTGCTGTGCTTCGAGGGCCAACTGCCTCTCAAATTTCCTTGTCCTCTCCTCTGTACAGTCTTAATCATGGCCTTCAGAGACACTAGTGTTTTGCTTAAGGAAGGATCCCCTCGTAGTTGTACCATTCGCTCTCCTGATCTGAACTTCATAGTCTACTTCTTCCAATTAATTATTGTCTCCCCTAAAGTCTCCAATCACGCCATCCCGAGTACTACATCAGCACTCTCCATTTCAAACGGAAAAAAATCTTGAACCACAACCATTCCTTGTAATTCCAGCAGAACCGCTTTACATTCTCCCTGACATGTCACCCGATAACCATCTCCCACTCTGAGTCTGAAAGACGGGGTTGTAACCACTGGTAATTCCAACCTACCCACTGCCTCGAAACCAATGCAATTGTGGGAAGCCCCACTATCAATCAACACAATTAATTCCTTATCGTGG